TATCTTTCTTAAAACACAGTGCAATCTTTGTTTGTGACCTTCATATTAGCAGTTTGACAATAACCCAATTGATGGGTTTATCTTTCTTAAAACACATGGATGAAGACTATGTGAGGCATCCGATAAATAAAACAATTTTGAGAGAAACTTCATGGGTTGCAGTAGACAGACCATTGAAGAGAAGTCAATAGGATGATAGAAATGTTTACAATTTTGTTGACTCAAGGGTTCAGTGATCTTAATTCTTACTTTCAGTAAAATATTATTATGTTATTCGTGCGTTGCACCTAATCCTACTAGTGAGAGTAAATTCAAACTTTTTGAAGAGATCATGTTCTTAACAACGGTTTTTCAGGGGTAGTAAATTTATGTATAAACTTTTCTTCCTATTTTAATCAATTTTAATTTGTTTTTTCCATCAAGAATTCGACGTGTCTAGAAAAAACAAACTAAAAATGATTCTAAAAAGAGAGTTTCACCAATCTCCCTGACTATCTCTAATCGTCTGGACTTCCATCAAATCTGAATCAAGCCAATATAATGCAGTTAATCATTTAAGTTTCAGTTAGGGAAAAATCAATCAAATAGAGTAGCTCCTTTGACCACAGTTAGGGAAAAATGAATCAAATGGAGTAGCACCTTTGACCAACAGCTCCCGTCCCTAGTTTGTGGACTTACAAAGTAAATGGTCATATGAAGATGTAGATAATTTTATTTAAGGCATCAACTTTACACTATAGAAATAAAACATGTCTCAAAAACCTGAAAAGGTAGTTTTTATTTTAGAAAATTCTCTAATAGATCATCTCAACCTTTAGATGTATAGATATGTGAAACAGAGAGAGTTTCAAGCTCTAAAAAATAGTGTCTTGTAACATATTATTTGGATTGTGGATTTTCAAGATTGAAAAATATTTATAGTTTTGCTTGATCTGCACCATTTTGATTTGATCAAAGCTCGACGGGTCTCCATTTTTCAGCCACTACACAGGGAAATAAATTTTACTAGATAAGAAAAGGAAAAAAATTTGTGAGGCACCTTCGGTGTGTAGGATAAGTTCGGTGGACGCGCAGCGAATTAAAATATGCATCTTGATGCCAAGTCAAATGGACTCGGATCGGCTCGGCTCGTGAGAGTCGCATGAAAGGTTGATACTGGATTGTGCATAATATGCTCCTGCGGGAGTATCGTGTGTGCTTGCTCTCCTGGGAAAAAAGTTATTACGGAGTTTTTTTAGATGTGGAATTTTAGGACCCACGAATCATTGGATAAACTTTTATAAGAAGACAAATTCAATCTTTAAGCTCTTGAAAGCTTTGAAGGTTGGTACATATATACAAATAAGCAAAATAGCAGATTAAAAAAAGAAAAAATAAATCTCTTTTGTAGAAAGAAAAGGGCAATAGGAAAGAGAAGTTTGGCACACTCGAAGTAACGTATACAATAAGAAGTAATTTTTGGGCGCCGTATAAAGAAAATAGCTAAATAAAAAATGCAAACCCAACAAATATTTTTTTCCCTTCAAAAAAATCCCAAATTTGCAAAAGATTTAATAAATGAATATGTGTCTTTTGTAGTTGAAAGAGATGATAAAAAACATAGATTAAAAAATAAAAATAAAAGGAGGTTTCTACATAGAATGTTCTATAACTCAGTTTGGGTCCCAGACTTGGCCCTGGCCCTCGCCAAGTTACTTGGGTGAGTTGGGTGGGCTTGATCGAGTCCTACATCAGCCCAAAATAGGTCAAAAAATCTAAAGAAGAATATAAAAAAGGATTATCTATAAAGAGACCATTTATCTATTGTACATGGAGGTCACACTCATTCATATTCATTAGATGTCAAATTGGATAGCTTGAGATGAGTCACAAAGTCCGAGAATTTTTTTTTTTTAGAAATTTCTATTTCTTCTATAGTAATCTATTTTAAAATTTACGGGACAAAAATGATTGTGACATCTGTGTACAAAAGATATAGTCACTTTGTAGGCAATCCCATAAAAATTTGTCAAAAGATAATTAAAAGCAACAACATCTAATATGAGTAATAGAAATCATTAAACGTATATACACGATAAAAAAGGTAACTTGGCGAATCCACTCGAACCCAACTGGGTTACTCTGAAAAGTACTCTGAAAAGCCGAGTACCTTGGCCAAGTTGATTTTTTTAAACTTAGTTTATGTTTGGGAAAAGTACTTTCCCCTCGTTGTAAACTTGGAAAATTTTTTCCCATATACATAACATCAAGATAATTAATAATTACTCTAAGCTTAGGGATCATGTCATAAAACTTTTATTTAAGAGTAGGTTGCCTAGTAAATTAACACTGACAATGGAGTTCACCACCTAATGTTATCACTATCCCCAACCTATCCAAAAAATAAAGTAATCCCACCACATGACAAGTAAATAACTCACTAAGATGCCTTAGATACCACGTTTCCAACATTTACCTTTTTAGGGTAGGTAAATTAAACGATTGTTAGTATTACTATTCGTGACCTACCCAATAAAATTATATATTTGTGAAGGATAAAATCAAAGCCCTAGTTTTAAAAATCACCAATCCTGATTGAGAATCGTGGATTTCAATCGAGATTCGTTGATCTTAATCGGAACAGGATGGTGGCAAGGCTGATTCTCCGGAGGATCATCCATAAATTAAGCAACTGTTTTTTTTAGGATTTAACCTGTTAATGATTCAAATAAACGTGCCCCATATAGATTATCGCACCTTTTTTCTTTTATTTTTTTAATTTTCCATTGGATCCACAATTCGACCGATCCAAATTGCTGAATTCAGTAGATCCAATAGAGGGCCAATCCATCTGGATGACTGGACTTTCAAAACAATAATGAAATATCTATTAAAAATAAGTTCAAATCGATGTTTAAACAGTTTAGGCAAGTTGGGGCCCCTATTTTGTAGTAATAAATATTTGGGAAACGTTTATATAGAGCTTAGGGGCTAAACAATCAAATTAGAACCTACCTCAAAAATTTCATTAGAAGAGGTTGTTTCGGTGCCCAATAAATCCTCAAATTGATTATCTTGACTTCAAGATGCATTAATTTGAGAAAAAAAATGGATTTCTAAGTTTTGAAAATAGTGCATCTTGTAACGCATTGTTGGACCGTCAATTTTCAAGTTATTCAAGTTTTCATAGATCTACTCGATCTACACTATTTTTGAAACCTTAAATTTTATAATTAAATATGAAAATATATTTTAAGGCTAGTCAAAGATTTCCAATATCGAAACCACATTTTGTGACACTATTTGAAGGTGGGCTCTAATTTGATTGTTTAGAGCCCCGACTTTATACAAACCACACCCTAAATTTTTTACATTGTATTCTTAAACTATTATGTAGTCGTACATGTCCTCTATTTATTCAAAAATCTTGTCCAACCAGTTAGACTAGTTATTGTACCAATTTTGTGACACTATATGAAGGTGGGCTCTAATTTGATTGTTTAGAGCCTCAACTTTATACAAACCACACCCTAAATTTTTTACATTGTATTCTTAAACTACTATGTAGGTACATGTCCCCTATTTATTTAAAAATCTAGTCCAACCAACTAGAATAGTTATTGTACCAATTTTGAATGGACAAGACCCTAAATGATTCGATTGTTGG